GGCCCAGGCCCTGGCGCGCTCGCGGCTGGACTCACTCAGCACGATCCCGAAGCGGATGCTGAGGTTGGGGCTCAGGCGTCTGGAGCACCGGTTGACCGAGAAGCCAAAGTCTTGAGACGGGTCTGCGGGAGAAAGAGGCGTGAGGACCCACGGTTGGACATGGGGCACTCGGCTGCGGGCTCCCCTCTCTGGTCACAGGCGCTTCCTTCCCGAGTGGCTGCCGGGGGCGCCCCCTGGTGGAGGGCGATCTCGCGGCAGAACTGGCTCGCTGATGACCTCGCGGCATGGACGCGCGTGTCGCCGGCTGGGAGCTCCGTGCAGGGGCAATGTGCGAGCCCCGGCCTCTACTCCCGGGGTCTCTGGAGCCCCAACTCGCGCACGGCTGTCCCTGGTGGGAGAGAGAGATGCTTCCGCAAGAAACTGCAGCCTTTCTTGCACCTGCTGTGTCCTGGGAGCATCTGGGAGATGGTCATCTGGGACGACAGGGCTCGGCAGGTCGACGCGGAGGAGAGAGGAAGTGCTGCCTTTCCCACACGCACGTGCGTGCAAGTGGTGGAATACTATGCAGCCATAAAAAAGATCTTGGTGCCAACCTGGGTGAAGCTAGGGGCAATTATACTCAGAGATTAAGTCAGACTGTGGTAGAAAGAGACTATCCGGAAACAGATTCCGTCACCTGACCATTGAAAAGGGGGTTCGCCAAAAATACAAGGAGAACTGTATGGGAAGATAAAAACTCCACATAAGAAAAAGATCCTTCTTGGGCCCCCCAGCGCAACGGTGCAGCACTATGAAGCTACCACAGCCCTTGCAGCATGAGTCCCATCCCCCACCACGGAGGGACCCCCAGGGCGCCGCAGACCCTTCCTGACCGCCCGCTGCTCCCCTCAGCAGCGTATCTCAGTCCATCTGCCTGTGCTGCTCCCCACTCTGTCTCTGGCGAATCCTCTCACCCAACACACCTGTACCCCAGTTCTGTGTGCACAAATAAATCTTAAAAAAAAGGAAAGAAGATTCTCATTGTGTCCAGACCGTGGCACTGAGTGGCTGCTGTGGACCGAAACAAGGCAGGAAGTAAATTCACCTCTATGCGCCTCAGCTTCTGCGGGGCAGAGGCAAGGCCCGAACTGGGCGGTTTTTCTGGTGGGCAGAGGCCCAACGAGCAGGGGCTGACACCCGGGGCTGGAGGACACCCTGCAGGACACGCCGGCGCGTTCTCTGGGCACGGTCAGGCCGCAGCCGCCAGCCTCCGTGGGCTCTGGCCGGCACAGCGGATCCTGAGCTCAGTGTGGACTCGGCCCCGGAGCCCGGGAGCCAGGTGGACGCTCTCCTGCACACGAGCTCGGCGGTGTTTCCTCCCTCGGGCCCTGACACGAGGAGCCTCGGCCGGGCCGCGTGGCGAGGCCCTGAGGGTGGCGGCACTCCCGGCTTGCGCGGGGTTCGGGGCCCCCCACCGCCCGCTGTGCCTTGGGCCCTTCCTCCGGGCAGCTAGGCTTCCCCTTTCTTCAGGAAACCCGCTCACTTCCCGCCAGGGTCACCGTCCGGTGCCCCAGGACGTCGGCGCTCAGGCCCACCCGCCCTCGGCCGCAGGGCAGGCCGTGGCCCGCAGTGGACAGAGGCCTGTGTGGCCCTGGCCGGTGCCCGCTGGGGTTCCAGGAGCCGCTGGCCGGCCGAGGTCACACAGCGGCACCCCCACACTGTCCCGCCACGCCCTGTCCTCCCCGTCCCCTGCCC